GAATAGGGAAGAAGAGGGATCAATAGGGAATTAACCAAAACTAAGGATTTGTGGAAAAGCCTTAGGAAAACCTGCTAGTTAGTAAGCTAATTTTGAAATATAACTGGTGTGGAATATCCCTTTACACTGTGTGAAGATGTGTCACTCTGATTGGTTTAATAAAGAGCAGAATGGCCAATAGCTAGGCAGAAAGAGCTTAGGTGGGACTTCTGGGGACAGAAGGATTCAGGGGAGAAGAAAGGGGGAGTCACCAGCCAGACACAGAAGAAGCAGGACATGTAGGAGGAGAGGCAAAATCATGAGCCACATGGCAGCATGTAGATTAAAAATTATGGGTTAATTTAAGTTATAAGAGCTAGTGGGACAAGCCTAAGCTAAGGCCAAGCTTTCATAATTCATAGGTCTCCATGTCGGTTTTTTGTGAGCTGTCTGCCCAAAAGAAAAATCTGTCTACATATGGCATCCAATGCGGGGGCTCATATATCCAAACATATGGTCTGAGAAAGCTAAGAAAGTTCTGCACAAGGAGCTGGATGTGACTTCCTAGTCCTGAAGTCTCTCAGGCTGGCCAGGGCTTGGCATACAGAGGTATGGCTGCTGGCCACTGCCTGCAGGCTAGAGCCAGCCACCAGCACCTTGTGCTAAGTTAAGCCATATGACAGCTGACATAACAACTTAGGATTTGTCTCATGCTATCAGAGAATGCTGCAGGTGCTCAGCAAAGACAGGTTCAGACGGGAAAAAAAAACTAAAAACAGGTTAGAATGTGTTTAAAAATATGTGTGGGCTTAAAAACTAAAAGAAAATGGGTATAGACAATCATAACAAGTTCATAAATAGTAAAACAAAGGTTTAAAAGACAGAATAAAATGATATAAAAAGGATAAACCACATAAAGATGGAAAATACACAGAAAGTCTGGATCCTTTATGGTGTCTCGTTGACTTTGAATTTTTTTTATTGCTGATGAGTAAATGACAGCTGCTGAGAGACATGGGATTGTAAAAGGGACTGCTGAGTTAAACTAGCCTAGATACTTTAGAAATATCTTAACTTTAAAATGCAAGTCAGAAAATGTATTGCTTTGGGGAAGAGGTTATGCTTTTGTTTCCACAGAAAATGAAAGGCTGTAGATTCCTTCAAGGTTGACAGAGATCAAGTTTGATTGGGGAGACCCCCTGAAAATCCTGGCTACCGGCATAAAGAAATAAACCGGCATAAAGAAATAAAAAAGTTTTCTTGTAGAAAAACTACAAGACAGGTGACATATATTTCACCTACTGAAACATAAAGCAAAAAATCATCTTTGGCTGGCTTGTGTACAATGCACAGTCCATACTTATGTTAATGAAGATATGTATGTTACCTTTGAAGGTTTGTGTGTTTTCAGAGCAAGGGGACCAGATACCAATGAAAATGGGTGGCTTGGATGATCTAGGCTCTTAAAGTGCCTCTGTTGCAGTTTCCTCAGAGTTCTACATCCAGAACAGCTTCAAGGCTGCTGGCTAAGATGACCCAGCCTCACAGATTATTCTAGCCAGAACTACAAATAAGCCTTCTACTTTCCCATTGCACAGAGACTGGACAACAAATCTTTTGGCTAGTTTTCCCAGGATTTGACCATTATTCCAACTTTCCCAGGATCTCCTAAAGATGCTGTTGCCCCCAAACAACAGTAAGTGGTTTAGAGGACACTATGCTCACATTCCCACAGGTGGGATGGGTTGGTTTTGGTCATTTGGTGGGTTATGGATGTTTGTCATCATTTAGGGGTGTTGGTTACAATTTTTTATTGGTAATGGTCAGGAAAAATGCTGAAAAGGGAGATTAGATTCAGGGATGTCTTTCTGAAAGGAAAAAGGGGGCTATAGTATAGAAATGATGGGATAAAAGGATGGATTATTGAGTCTACTTTTGAACAACCACTAACATCAAATATTTTACATTGGTATGGAGTTTTATATATTGATACAAATTTAAGGTTATTTTTGTTATGCTATATATATTTCTGTTTTTTTTTTTACAGTTCATGGACTGTGATTCAGTTTATAAAGTTGTTCATGCATTAGTCAAACCAGTTTTAGAATATATATTTCTATTCTTGTTTAAGGTATTGTACCTATGCAGCTCATTTTAAAATATAATATAAAGTTTTAGTCCTTGAAAGCTATTTAGGTTAATAAGATTATAAAGAAACACAGGTTAGTAGTTAGTCATCTGTAATAACCAAACTTGTAGTCAGGTTAGGTATGTTTTCAAGATTAAACAGAGATATGTTTTAGATAGATAAGTGATCTTCAAACACTTCAGAGACCTACAGAATATGGTATTTAAGATGTTTTAATAACCTAAGGCTTTTCATGATAGTGAGACATGTCTGCTCCTGGCTGCACCAATTTACTTAAAAAAAGAATGATGGGCATCAAAGAACTTCCGTATGGAGTTTGCTTTTATTGTGGCCAAGTTAGCCACTGAGCAAGAAACTGCCCTTGCCTTGACTGCCGATTGTATGCTGTCCACACTGGACAAGCAGGACACAAAAGAAAGCAAATGTCGAATTTTACCAAGACAAAGAAGAACAATCCTTCAAAATTCCTGCTTCACAGAAAACTCTGTCAGATATTCTAGGCCTGTAACCCAAAGATGGATGCCACAACATTGCAGAGGAAACTTGGGCGACTGTCCAAGCACCCAGATGCTTCTGTAATTTCTATAGTTTTTGGAAGATGTTTGCTCTGCATTTACTGTTTACTCAGGTAATATTATATCCTTCTTGGGTGTCTGATGGAGTTAAAGATGAGATAGTTATAGTTTTATAGTTTTCCTTGTTACCAAATTCAAAAAAGAAACTCACAAAAGAGGTATAAAATGTATATAAGATTGAGAGACATGAAAGCTTAAATTGTTTATCTAAGAAAATGTTTTGAGGTCTAAAAAGATAGTTTTAAGATGGTAATACAAGTTATGATAGAAAATGGTTTAGCTACAAAACTTTAAATTCAACAAGATAAGATAGATTATTGAGTATTTTCTCCAAATATGACAATACAAATGGACTGGACATTGTGAATGTAATTCTTACCTGATAATTGTTCTTATTGTTTTATTTTATTATGTTAGAGTTAAAAACCTTTCCTTTTTATTTAGACAAAAAAGGGAAATGCTAGGGAATATTCCTTTACACTGTGTGAAGATGTGTCATTGTGATTGGTTTAATAAAGAGCTGAATAACCAATAGTTAGGCAGGAAAAGGTTAGGCAGGACTTCTCGAGACAGAGAGGTCTCAGGGAAGAAGAAAGGAGGAGCTGCCAGCCAGATGCAGAGGAAGCAGGACATGCAGGAGGAGAGATAATAGCCATGAACCACATGGCAGTACGTAGATGAAAATAAATGGGTTAATATAAAATATAAGATAGTGATACAAGCCTAAGATAAGGCCACACTTTCATAATTAATAATAAGTCTCCATGTTGTTTTCTGTGAGCTCTTAGCCCCAAAGAAAAATTTGTCTACATAGAACTTTAGAAGAGTTTGGTTTGAATCAAAGTGTCCTGCATGGGTGGACAATGTTACTCCCAGGATACAAGTGTTATTAAATAAAAAAATCACATTACAAGATATGAAAAAAGTCTGGGACTGGAGAGAATGCTCAGTGGTTACTAAAGCTTGCTGCTCCTCCAGAGGACCAGAATTCAGTTCCCACCACCCCATATCGGGAGGCTCACAACCACCTGTACCTCCAGGCGCAGGGGATCCAATAACTTTGTGGTACCTGCTTGCATGTGCACATAAACACAGAGATATAAACATAAATAAAAATGAATATAAAATAAAAAGAAACATAAACTAAAGATTGGAGAGATTTAATTCTTTTTTTTTTGTTTTTTGTTTTTTTTTTTTT